CACAACCTGTGAACTTGTGGGGCCTTGAATGGACAGTGGTCTCAACCACTATATACACCACAGCCTCCCAGATTGCGATCATTGGGACTATATTCCGCTCAGTATCGCCGAACTCGAGGAGACTTGATTTTGACGTATCAAATACTGAAGAACCCAAACCATCCGTGTCGATCGCTTCTCATGTTATCGAACAATGTACACCTAAGGGGACACCGTTTCAAACTACTGATTCCAAAGCCTCGACTGGATTGCCGGCGCCAGTCTTTTGCTGTCAGAGTATGCAAATCTTGGAATGCCCTTCCATCTCATGTCGTTTGTGCACCCACTATTGAATCTATCAAGCAGAGACTCGACAAAATCTTGGCACACCTCACATTCGTACACTAAAGGCAAACGGGATTCACTGTAGCCTACATTCTCTATCTCCTACCCGGATCCCTATGTGACTCCTTTTTTGATGTGTAACGATTCATCTATGTAAACATCCTATGGAACAAGAGATGCACCAGCTTGTAAGCTATTCCCATAATAAAACTTTGACTTTGAGATTACCCGCATTGCTTTCTACCAAACCTCCCTAGGAAGAAACTGCCGACCGACTTTTGCAAATTTGACACTTGCAAATCTGTTATCATCCAAACACTTCCCTTCGTGCATAATCAACAACAAGAACAACAGTAATACTCTGTGATACTCTTAGTTGTTGTGCAACAAGTAACATATTTCCTTTTAAGAGATCAATTTCGTTGTTTAAAGAGTCCTCTGACCACATTTCACGTGCTCATTTGCACACTATTTCATCGAGCACGTGAAATATGCTCAGAAGTATCATATTCACTCGTTTATAGCAGTGCACGACCAGTTTTATTGGAAATGTCGGGATGTTTTTGAATTCAACCTGTTCTGTGATGATGTTTCTTTTCGTCCTTAGGAAATTTCGGTAAATTTGTATTTGTTGTGCTGTAAATGTTTGCATTCTATTCACAGTTACTTGTGAGTAAATGTGTAAATAACCAGAAGTTTGAAACTGTTACATCACTGACTGGGAAGAAGAGACTCGGATCAATTACGCAGCTCCTATTTGTTAAAAATAAACATTGTGTCACTCCGGGCTCCACGCATTTCAGGTCATTTACAACACAAATTTACTGCTACTTGCCGAGGCACGGTTCATTCATAATCACAAAGCCGTTCCATACAAACCATCTGGATGGTTGGTCACATTTACCTTTGTCTTGGTGACTGAACCCCGTTTGCTTCCTGATTTTCGCGTTGTCCGTTGTAATTAGCAATCTTGTTTTTGTCTTACGTCTGTTATTTTACTGATTAGAAAAATCATCTTGACTGCAATATGTACACGTGTGTACAAATGCACCAAAACGGCCATCGATAGATTGTGCAAGTCCATATTTCTGACTTCTCTATTCAAACAAAATGACAGTCAGTCATAGGATGAAGCATTGCTAACCAAGGACCAAAATGCAACTTATCGGTAATGTAAATGACCGAATAATAAACCCCGTTTGTGAATGAGAATTAATTTACTGTTTTGAACGATCTACTCCGACCCACCTCCACGTTCCGACATCAAACCAACCATTTGACCGCACAGAAACCGCTCACATTCCGTGAGGTGTTCCTCCGCTGCATGACCTGTTGGCAGATCCTGTGTTTGGGCTTGTATCGAATGGAAAATCGAGGATTCCGATACGTGCTAGCCAATCCGCAACCAAAAACTTTACTCTACTCTACTGACATGGTAGGTCTGTCTCAGATTATCCGGTTTTTTAATTTGTCAGTCATATTTGTATGCCAGGATCATGTTTTTGATTCCGTAATCACTTCAGCTGTAAAAAGAGCACAGATTGCGCGGTTCTTTTATGGAGGTGCTTGTCCGCCAACTTTGCACAGTACGGAGATATTCTGAGCCACAAAGCCGAAGACCACAACTAGTTGGAACATTATGTATATATACATATATATATGTATATATATATATATTTCTCTGGGTTATGAAAGAATTTAATTTGGTTATCCAATAGAGTTGCTATAATTGATTATATACTAAATAAAATAATGCCTCATAACAAATAACCGAGATGGCAAACGTTTATGGAAATAATTGGGAATAATCCTTGAGTCATTCCCATTAGAAAATATTGTGTTGCCATACTTGATAAAGTTTATGGTTTTCATGTTCAGATCATTTAATCTTGGCACTCAAGGCCAGGTACGTTTAATTGACACTTTTGCAGACTAGAAACTACGTAGATCGAAGTAGACAAGATATAAATTTTTGTCCATACCTAAAGCATTAATACAGGTGATAAATATAATGAAACTCCATTTGATCATAAAAAAATATTTTAGTGCATCACAATCAGCCAGTACTGTAGAGAGAGAGTAAGAGAGAGCGTTGAGCTTTCGTATTCGTATCATCGCACAGTGAGGAGTCTATGAATAAAGAAAGGCTACACCGGCTAAGGCCACCGCTTTCGATACGGCTAGTACGAATATTCGAGATAAACCGGGATCCAGTGATATTTCCTTTTGGCAAATCACACTGTGGAACGAAACCTGATTGTTGGCGGCGGCGCATTCAGCTGAATTTGAACACTCCATTTGACCGTCTGGACAATTGTATTTTGAAGTAAATCAGTTAGGCGGTAATTTGAACACAGGATTCAGTGTAACATGTACTTCCGCACTTCATAAGGCTCATTACGAAGGATGAAGCCATTTTGTGAACTATCGTTAACTGCAGGATTACGTTTCTTCTTCTGAGGAACGGAGAAGGATGCAGGTGGAAAATCAGAGAGTCAGAGTTCAAACCCTGTTCTGGCGTGTTTTCGACTGCTGATAATTACCCGCACTGTGGCACAAAAACTGATCACTCGACTAATTGCGTGGGGTGATAGCGAACGGGATACCGGGGGGGGGGGTCTATGTCAATTACCCCGAACCTGGAAGGAGAGTAAACACATTGATGTCACATGATGTGCACAATATCCAGCAGAGGTTCATGCAGTGTGCTTTCACTGCACATACAATTTGAATGTATGGACTCCGCCGTTTGTAGCACTGGCAATCAAATATGAACTATACGTTAGGGTTCTCTCTGTGTCTAACTCATATACTCACTTCAGAACCCGGTTGTGATGACTCGCGATATCAAGCACACTTATTCAATATTTCTATATTCCCCCAGACAACCTTGAATCGGCCGCGACTCTGTTACTGAAATTTAGCTAAACCATCGTATATTCAGCAGATAAGGTAAAAAACCATCATTTATTATAACTGAATTGCTCAAAATAAAAAATCAATCAGAGGACTGGAAAATTCATAGAAGTAGCTATCAACAGGAATAGTTACAGAAAACATGTTTTGTGGACCAAGTTTCCTCCATAAACCACTTGTCAAATACTGCTCACTTGTCGAGTAAGCGTGTTCTTTTTTACTGAATTGAATGCTTCGGCTGTGAAGGAAGCACGGATGCCGCCACCTACGCTTTGAATCCCACCGAGGTTATTGATATTTGTACAACTCAACCATACGACTGTTGCCTTCCGTTATCTGCCAAGCATAATTCAATCGCATTAAACTCAATTTTTCGCTTTCAGTTCTATTGCTTCATGCCAATCGCGAAAAATGACAAACCAGACATATTCCCATTTGGAAATCCTCCAAAAATCGTCCTGGGGCCTCCCAAATGATTTAGCCACGCGTGAGACAACAATAGACTGAGCGGATAACGGCAAAAATGTACGCTATGCCGATAATGATCCGACTTGATTTTCTCATATGAAACGAGAACCCAGTGCATTTCTATCCATCATATTCACTGTTTGTTCCCCACCCCCTCTTCCCGCGCC